ACATTTGTTTATTGCCAACCTAGCTGTTGTTGGCTGTTGATCATGGTTGTTGTTAGTAACACGGTTGAAGCCACTATTAAATCTATACAGCAATTTACTTTTAAATTTTCATCCATTGCAATGTTTTGCTTGAATAAAAAATAATTGTTTACAAGACACATACAAGAAATTTTACATGTTAAACAATGCATAGTTGGTAACACTACTGGAAACTAAACAAATTGCAGCAATTCTGTCTCTGTCCCATTGTGTGATAATAAACATGCAATTTTATCCTCGCAACAAGATCCCCGCAATTTTGTCGCTGCAACTAAATTGCATTGTCTCATACAGGCTTAAGTCATACACTTCATTTTGATCAGATTGGGCCGACACGTAAGCCCTTTTAACATCGGCCAACTAACTATATTGAGAATTAAGAAGCGCATTAAAAATGACAAATTTACAAAACTGACCTAGTCCATTCCCATTGATAGCACTACACACTGATAATATCACTAGATAAACATAAATCATTAATTTCGTCATTGTCGATTGTACGAAAGGAATCATAATGCAACAAAAATTCAGCTGTTTGTCTATGGCTGAACCCAAGCAAGATCAACAGTCACAATCTACTGTACCTACTAATCATAGATAAAATACAATTTACCTAATACTCCCCACCGTCCCTAGGTAGTCAAATGTTTTTAGTTTTGTTATTTGGTTGGTCAGTTCCGGAGACAACATTCTTTGTTGTCTCTGGTCAGTTCTCTCTCGCTACCGACATCTAGCGGTGTAGAATGTAAACATTCTTTTAAGTAGTTATGTCATGCAGGTACATTGTTTTGTGTTTGAAATCAATGTTGCCAAATAATTATCGTTTTTATACGATAAAATTAGCTTATGTAGGTATGATGTACCGTAATAATGCCAACAATGCAAAAATCTGTAGATTATGGTTTATGTCATATGAATTGAACATAATATTACATTAAGTAATAATATGTATTCAAACACTCCTTTATTTTTTAAATTATAAAATAAACCAAACGTATTACTTTTTTTCTTTGAAAAGTACAGATTGAGACTAGGGAAATTTCATTGCGTTTTTAACAAAGTTATGAATCTGCTGAAATTTTGGTAGATATATATAAAAAATCAATACAGACGTATAAACGTTGTTCCAAACAGACCTGAATCTCCTTAATAATTTTAGAATTGAGCCCCTTTAAAGAACCAATTTGTTGTAAAAATAATGAGAATTATAATTATTATTATATTAAAAACGACAAAAATCTAAATAATATTTAAGTTTGACCGGTTATAACTCACATCAGTCAATATTAGTCCAAAAACTTTTGAAAACCCATCATTTTGAAGGGAATCTCATCTAGTTTTTTTGTACAGCAATTTTCTTTGTCAACTTCTACCAAAAAAAACAAAAATTCGTCAAAAAAGTAAAAAAAAATCAAAAATCTTATTTATTGCTTTTTTAAAATTGTTTAATAACAATTTTTTTCTTTTAAATTTTTTTAAATACGCCATTTCAATGGGAAATTCAATTTTCTACAAAATTTTTTCTATGAACTATACCGAAATTTTGCTTCGTTTTCGTGCTATATTTAAAAAACTGCAAAAGTGCATTTTCACCCCTATCTTCAATTTCAACCCTCTAATTTAATAGTACCCCGCGGTTTTTTCATTTTTAATGAAAATGAAAATAAAAATGAAATTCGAATTGAGCGGCCATATATCAGTCAATTTTCATCCAAAAATATTTTACAATCTCTTACTTTGAAGTAAATTTTATCTACTTTTTTTTCTATGAAGCAGTGCCTATACCTATCTTTACTCAAAAAAAAAACTACATTTAATCCATATTTAGACAAACTGTGTAATAAATATCTATAAAAATGTATTGCTGGTTGCCTATTTGCTATAGAGCCCTCTTAAATAGAAACC